TATTGCGGCCGGTTCCGGAGATCCATGCTGTCATGACTCGTATCATCAAGGTGCCTTGTGACCGAAATCCTCGCTGGCTTCACGAAAATCAGATTAAAAAGAGAAAGAGACAGAAGGACAAGGAACAGATCATGCGGGCTGGAAATGGAGGGGGCGTGTGGATGAGCAGACCAATAATTTGTGCGGTATTCCCCTGGTCTGTGCATCGGATATGAAGACGATTGGCAGGCAAGCCTCGTTAGAATGTGATCCTGCCGGAGCTCTCGCCATCTGAGGTCGAGTCTTGGACGAAGGATTCCGCCTAAGTAGATTAGTCGCCGCCGCTGGCTGGGCGCATCGGTCGCGGAGTGATTTCGGTTTCTCTGCTGAGCTGCCAGCGAAAGATAAGCCCCAAACGGATCTGCGACTTATCTAGATTGTGTTTGAAGCATTACTATTATAAACGAAAATAGACTAACTTAAGTCTCATTTAAAGTGCCTAAAAGCTCCACAGGTGAGTAGCTGTTCTACAGGGGCAATGTTGCCATCTCAAAAGACTTTTGTGTACTATGTATCCTGCAATATGCTATTCTTGGCATCGAGTTTTTTTTACCGCAGCAAGTCTTCCCATTCTTTCTAACCAGACCCTGAGATCGAATATTCCATCGCTCAAATCAGTCTGATCCCCCTTGAACTTGAATGTATATCCGACATTGTCCGCAGGCTCCTTTCCATCAGTATAGCGAATGCGACAAGGGCCGACTTTGTAATTTTTTGTTTCATATGCCGCAAGCCTCTCCCCATGTTCAACCGTTTGAACATGATACACTGCGCCCTCGACCACGGAGTCTGGAGCATCCAGCAGTGCAGGGTATTGCCCCCACAACTTGCACTTATAGCCCGATAGGCGTGCTGGGCGCAGTTCCGGCTCAGTTTCCAGCCCCAAAATTTCACGAATCATAGACGGGTCGGTCAACGTGCCATAGAAGAAATAGGGCCCAGTAGGCGCGTCGAACAAGTCCACGTACTTGGGTGGGTTTGGTGCTTGAAAAAAGTAATCCGAAGGAGCGGTTCTGAGTTTCAAGACGTAACTGGAGATTTTCGAGCCAGGAATTTCGGGTGGTGGTGGTGGTGGTGGAGGGGGACTGTTGAGACTCATCTGCTCTCTTGCACTATCCGACATGATCGGAGTTGAGTGGAAACATTTATAAAAGCCCAAATAGAGAAATAGAAGGGTATAAGTGGCACACAAGAAAGAAAGGTTTATGTATTGAGTGTAGGTCTGAGAGCGAAGTTCCAATGGGCCATTGTAACAACCTAGTGTTATGTATAATCACCGCGGGTTCTGGGCCCATTACGCGCACGCGCTAGCAGTAGTGCACACCCAAATGTCCCCACGGATTTTCGTACGCCACCAGCGCGTACTGACGTACATAGCGGTTATCTATAATTAATATCGCTTAGCCAACCAGATCCTATCCTTATAGATGTGGATCTTCTAGTGAGCCACCAGTGTTCCAGGAAGGCTCACGAGGAATAAGATAGCTCACTGCAGTGGTAAGAGAGGCAATCGATGAGAGCAACAAGCGCCGGAGGGTGACGTATTTAGTTGTCGGCTGGGTTTCATAGTTTCGAGCCGTTGCGCGCTTCTGCATAGAAGGCTAATATAAGTATGGGTATCTGCGCTCTAATTTTTATTATACGCTCGATTTTCACTCATTTAGCCGTACCATCCTGGGTCTTTGTATGATTATCTTCGTCATTCATAGTTCGAATACTCGTCTTGGACTACTCTGCTTTAGGTATATTTTGAGAGAGCTTTAATGTCTCGACCACCCCCACCGCCTCCTCCCCCCTCGGCGACAAGAAGACCAACCGGTATGTTAAATGGTTTTGTGGCAAGCACCTATTTTCTATTCTAAATTGTTACACAGTTGGGAAAAACTCTGTACGAGCTGAGGCTCCTACCTATCCCATTGGAAGCTTCGGCATTGGAGTCGAGGTTGAGTTTCTTCTACAACCTCGTGAGAATATCAAGGCAGCCGATGATGTCAGGCAATTTTCCAAGGCGGTTGCATCTTCCTACAATGCTTTTATGGACCAATCCGAGCCCGGTAGACATCCACGCAATCGATGAATACTACTTAGGGCCCGGGTTTGCCGAATGGTCCCTTGACTCAGATTCGACAATCGAAATGCCAAAGAAAGGCCGTGCACCATGTAAGCTGTATTCTTGGTGGCAAATAATACGGTCTAACAAGGATATGTAGGGGGCTTGGAGAGTATTTCCCCCATCTTTAGGGCACATGAGGGCTCTAGGTGGCGTCAGCATGTTGAATTTATGTGGAGATTCCTTCTCGCGGATTTTCATGTCGATTCCAATGCTAGTTGCGGCACTCATGTACATCTATCACGGGTGGGAGGTTACTCATTAAGCGACCTCAAGAAGATTTGCCAAAGTTTGATACATTTCGAGCCTGCTTTTGAAGCCATTCTTCCAGAGGAACGACTCGGCAATGAATACGGACGAAGCAATTGGCTGGATAACATGAATTTTGGACACCAGAATCTATCCCGAAGGCAGAGCATTGCCATTATTCAGCGAGTTTCGACCATGAGGGAGCTAGTACTACTTATGAACCCCGACCATGACAAGATGTTTGGTTGGAACTTTCTCTATCTACTGAATAATCCCCACGGGACAATTGAGTTCCGGCGCGGAGCGGCGAGTAATTCAGTGCAAGACGTCTTTATCTATATAGAGATTGCGATGTCTTTTCTGGAAGCCTCAGTCCGGCTGGGAGATGTGGAAAGCCTCAAGAGTGTGCCCGCCACTGTCGGTGGTCTCCAGTGGTTTATCCAAGCAGCAAAGCTACCAGACGGCATTCCTGGATTATTTGACTCCCGGTATCTCAAGCTCTTCTTCGCGGAGAAGAATCAAAGTGCTTTTCGTGAGCCAAGACCACTGGGTATTCTTTCGCCTTACAAGCTGAATAAGCTAAATCGGAAGAAGGAAGAAGACAAGAGAAAAAACGTTGCTATGGTCAAGATGTTACAGGAGCCTTATTGGAGCTGATTTAGGTCTTATAGCGTCGTTGCCCCGATATATTTCTCTGCAAGCCGAAACAGCACTTACTATCTTATTTCGTATGCTTTCTTGATTTACCATTGCTTTTATGTCATTCCCGCGGCCCTGTTGAGAGCTTAACGGGATGATTATATACTTAACGTTCTCCCTTGCAATGTTATATATTCTGTGCTATTGAATATTTATCGACTTGGACTGTCTTCTGTTCTACTATTCAAAGGCCCATCTAGCAAGACATAATCGCCTCGATGGTTCAAGTATTTCTCTGTGAATTTATTTGACAGGTACAGTACGTCTCGAAACTGGTATCACCACACTCTTCGATTTTTTCTCGTACCCAGATACTAACTAAGATTCACAATACAATATTAGGAATTAATGTTCTTGTAATATTACCTATACAATATTTTACTTTCAAGGATACATGGCTTTGTGTAATGCTACCGTATCAAGAAAGATATAGAGTAAAATCTGGTTCTACTAGAGGGTTTGAACGGATCTTGAAGGAGGCGGCGAAGGCAACGATTCCATAAACGAGATATAAAAAATATCATCCGTAAATTAGCGAGTATAGGGAAGCAATAGAATGAAGCTAACACCCTGTAGTCCTTCAATCAATTATACATCAATAGTCAGCTCCACAGTTCAGTTCCCATTCCAACAAGGTCTTAGAGAGTGTCAGTGTTTGAGGATGCGCAAGACCTAGGATTCGTTGCTGCTTAGCTACGCAGTTTTCGCAACAAATCGATAGCATCGTCATTTCGATCGATATATCTCCAGGTGAGAGCGAGGTTCTGCATGGTCAACAGCGTGTCTGGACGGTCCACGCCGAGCTTCGTCTTGCGCATCTCTACCAAATGCACCAGGAGCTTCTCGGCCTCCTCCCACCGACCCTGATTCCCATGCTTAGCCGCCAGATTCCCTAGGCTCCTCAACGTGTCGGGATGGTCCGTACCAAGCTTCGTCTTAAGAGTGTCCATCGCCTGCATTTCGAGCTTCTCAGCCTCTTCCCACCGGCCCTGTATCCTATACGTAGCCGCTAAGTTTGTCATACTCGAAAGCGTGTCGGGATGATCCTCGCCGAGCTTCATCTTGAGAGTCTCCATCGCCTGTATTCCGAGCTGCTCGGCTTGCTCCCATCGACCTTGGCTCCTATAAGTCGCCGCCAGGTTTCCCATGCTCCTTACCGTATCAGGATGGTTCGTACCAAGCTTTTTCTTACGAATCTCCAACACCTGTAATAGGAGGTTCTCGGCACCTTGACCGGGGATTTCTGGTCCCATGAAGCTTCTGACCCTTCGAAAAATTTCAAAGGATTTATCTCATGACCCACCAGCATAACAACTTGCACAAATTTTCCTATGTCACTCTGAAAAAAGTGCCTGATGTGGATGTGATTGTGCAATTCCCTGGATATCTCATCCGGCGTCAAGTTGTTTTTTGAATTTATCTCGTCAATTGCTCTGACTGCGCATTGGATCTCGAATTTTGATGCGAAAATAAGTTGCTGCCCACACACATTTCCCGAGGAATTGAATAGAGCTGACGGTATGATTATATGAGGATTTTTCTTGCAACGTTTGATGATAAGCATATCTTGTTAGTTAGTTACAACATTCACCGACTTCCGTGTTATACGTACAATCTTGAATATCAGACATTGTAGTTAGTCTAGGGCGAGGTAACTAGATGTACTCGATTTCCGCAATCTGCGTCGTTCTAAATCGATCTGTTCAGAAAAAGGAAACGCAATGAAGAAGAATATTTTTGCGATAAAATCAGAAACAGGGAAGTAGCTAGCCTTTTATTTTGTAATCCGTCGGATGCTGTGACCATGTGAAACCAAAGCGGTCTATAGAGTGTGGCTGATAATGAATTTAAAAAAGAGTCAGAAATTAAAATGTCATACTCGGTTCGACTCGGGTCCGTAGAGCTCGTTCGAAGGGAGATTGAAACTAACGCTTGAATTCAGTCTAATGGATCTTCATGGATTCTCAAAACCCTTGTCATGCTTCTCCCATTGCGAAGAAAGAATACCTCCGCATGTAGGGCACATCTGAGTCTCAATAGGATCATCTGAATATTTCTTTCCCGCCAACTCCTGACCTCCGTCGAGCTCGTGACTGTTTTCCAGTCTGCCGGGTTTTGGAAATTGAGCCATAGATTTGCATTCATCAAATTCTTAGTGTAGCTGATCCCGTTCATTTTCCAACATGTCACATCGCTCTTGAAGGGACTTGTTCCCATCCCTGAGTTGTTGATTCTCCCGATTTCGGTTACGGTAATGTCTCGATGCTTTACTGTTCCCTTTCCGGCTCTTTGTCTTGGTATATGAGCCTGCTTCGAGGTCTAATATGCACGGAATTAGAGAGCTTGCGGGGCTGTCTTGTTGCTCCGAGGGATGTTGAGGAGATAAGGAGTGTTGCGATGGTTGGATAAGATCCAAAGTAGATTGAGGAAGCAGTATTTGCTGATATCCATTTCTTGATGCTATGGTAATTGGAAGAGATGTGTAGGCGATATAGAGCAGATTTGAGAGTAATTGTGACCTTATATCCCAATAGCTATCTCGAGCGAGAGCGTTTGAGTGCGCTGTTTTTACATCCTAAAATATTTTTTAAGACATCTACCCCGGGATATAGTTACTGGCTATCGAACGTACTAGCAAGAATGATGAGAATATATACCGTTTTAAGTAAATTGCCTTGTTCAAATTGCTCTCTTTCTTCCAAATTGTTGAAGTTGTCTGGCAGGCAGGGGATCTGCAACGATTCTGAGACCTCGTCACCATAGTTTTGTAGACAATTTGGAATTCCACATTGCAGGAAAAGTGGAAGAACCTCGCTATGTTGCCAATAAATCAGGCCAGTGATTTCCAGTTTATCAGATAAAAATGATTTAAGGCCTGAAAATGCCATCTTGCGATAGACTATTCCGTTTTGGGTTCTAATGTTTGGGACCTAACGTTAGAACCCAAAACGGAATAGCTTAACTCCACTTGGAGGTCCCAAAATTTACCAAAACAACGCAATCGTGCGTTGCCCTAGTTCTATAGCCTAGTTGAGAGTTATGATTATTTTTCCCAGGCAGATTAAGCGCTGAAATTATCGGGTGGTCCGGTCAATTTAGCAACAAAAAAAAAAAGAATGAGGTGCTTCTTAAAGATAAAACGGAGCGATTCCCTCTATATCTACATCGATATTCTCTCACCATATTGCAACAATCTTTCTATCGAATCTCTGGTATCGTTTCTCGGTTTATTGTTAGACCATTACTAACTTCAAACTCAGTTGCCATCATGTGTCAAATTTGGGTTACAACAGCTATATTCGCTTGCGGACACAGAAAAGAGAGAAAAGAACCACATCCCTGTTCTGAGAATCACGCCGAACCATGGCCTGAGGTGCCAATGGGCAGCTCCCATAATCGCCGAGACAAATGTCTCAGCTGCCGAGGAGCTTCCAATGGCCACTAGGCTTATAGCCGTAAGCGTCTAAGCGCTCATGTCGTGAGCTTTGTTATTGACTTTCATAGTCTTCGAGAAACTACTTCCTGCTTAGTAGAAATATCTCTGTTAAACAGAATTTGGTTTTTGTTATCGACGCCATGCTGATAATATCAGTTCAACTTTTCGAGATCGTACTGTTGCACTGCCGACCCCAGGGCCTTTGCCATTATCTTTTCAATGACTTTTCCATCGTATGCGAATTGCCTAAAAAATTGCCCGAATTCCTGTCTTTACATAGCTTTGTGCAAAATACGGTCCATTTTTCTCATTCTTATCCATAATCCTCCAGTAACTTGAAGAAACCAGCAGTTATAGGTCTTTTGTCTAGTAATATGCATTGAATCAAATCGGAGTTGTGTAGATAAAAGGGCAGAAACCCAAAGGGAAGAAGAGGGATACGTGGATCCAGATCAAATGGAGCAAATAAAACAAACAGAGGCGAAAGAAATAAGGCACTCATAAAACCATTCGACTAACTACTTAATTTCGAGTTCAACAGTACTATATATTTATTCATTGGGCTACAAAAGCTCATTAAGACTTTTATTTCAAATATTAATTCCTTATGCAGAAATCAAACTGCAATCAATTTTCATGCATGGGTACACTATAGCTTGTGAACCGTAATTCGGCATCTCTATCCAAGTCATAGCAATCTGCTAGTACTTGCAACTGGTCTCCTGAAAGTATACCATCAAGTACACGGCCTACAGATCATGTTAATTATCAATAACGAAAGAAAGGTATCACATAATGGGCGATTCTGACCAATACTGTTCTCGCGTCCATTTCTCCATACTTTGATCCGCTCTCTCAGTGAAGCAATTGGCTCTGAATGTATTTGGGTACCGTAAACAGCTTGACTAGTCTGAGCGTCAAGTGCATAAAGGTTCTGTAGCATCTCCGAGGTGCTGCTATATTGTTTAAGCCAGGCATTTCGAATAATCGCATCAATACCCAGATGATTGGTCTGTATGCTAGGCAAAATCAATTCACCATCACTGTCAACAGAAAGCTCAGGTTTGATTCCATGCTCAACCTGGAAAAGGAGCGAGGCCATTGCAAACATATCAGTTGCCTCAGACAGATTTGGCGACGGACCATTGACTGGGAGTGGAAGATCCGAGATGACCAGATTTGAATAACCAAAGGGACTAGCGGCACTGAAATCACAAAGAATAGCAGAGCCTCGATTATCCAAGAGTACATTATCAATTCGTACATCTCCATGAGCAATGCCAAGCTTATGAAGGTGGCAAAGAGCGTCGGCGATATCGCAATACCATCGGATTCGAGTGGGCTGTGCGGGTACCTCACCCTCGGGCAACGGCTTATATCTGCGGAGAAATATCCCCTCGGGTTGATCGGTGTCGATAGCTTCAATGATATGAGGATGTGGCCACCGTTGAAGTAGTCGTAAAACAAACCGTTCATCTTGCAATAAGCCAGAGTGAAAAACCGTATCTGATGCATAGTGGTACCGGTCGCTGTCAGAGGCGTCGCTCCCGGGTTGTTCGAAAATGCGACAACTCTTGAGGACTATCTCTTCGTCAACCTCGTAGACTTGACCGGAAGCTCCTATGCCCACTATTTTCAAATCAGACTGAAATAGTGGCCGTATGGTATAGGTGACGTGGTCAGATGTTCTCGAGGCGACACCAACCACATTATTGGACTCAAGATCATTCGACTCCTGTGAGTTGGATGGATGGGCTTTGATGAATAACGGAATTATACCAGAGAAGATGCCGAACGTGCCTTCAATAAAGAATTTCCAGGCCGCCCGCACAGCGGAGAAACAGTTCCAGAGGTAAATTGACATTTTCATGGTACTATGAAATCAGGAGAGGCTGGGAATGCGCCGTGGAAGTTGCAGTAAATATAGAGCTACGTCATATGACACGTTCCTCAATGGCTACAAAACAATCAAACTCCTGCTAAATCAGCTCCCGCATAGAAAAAGACCGCAAGGTTGGGATAATTGATCACATGACTTTCTACCCAACTTGAATCATGAATTAACAATGCCCCTCCCAAACTATTCTTGATCATCTGATCAACGGAAAATTTATGTAGCCACCCTTATAAAAGTCGACATCTCTTAATGGACTAAATGAAAGAAGTTACGCGATCGTTCACCTCTCATGGAGTGTGGTGAGTTAGGTAAAGTTGCATGTTGGAACTATCCACGAGCACGGCGCGGCAACTGCTGTTTTGGCATTAAAGTTCATTGCCTGATTGGCGGCCAATCGGTGATCGCCGGCGCCAAAATTGGCGCTAATACTGAAAAGGAAAAGGCACCAATAGTCCATACAGGGATAAGCGCGGCAGGGGTTCGTCTCGATCCACCGTGCATTGGTCATAATAGATGTTCGCCAAATAAACCTAGGGCTAATTTTGAAGGCGCATGTTGCGATGATCATGTGGCATTATCATTTTAACTTGAATGCATACTGGAAAAAGTCAAATAGAAAAAACTTGATCGACATGCATCGTTGGAGCCTCAGGAATCTAAGTCTCTCCCTCTCTTCTGCTGCTACCTGCCCGCTGTTCATTTATTCGCCTTGGGTCGAGAGCAGCATGTCTAATAAGCGGTGCCTTCAAAACAACTGCTAGGGAGGCATTAGATGTTGAACTTCATCTACTACCTATGCAGCAGCAGCTTGACCGGTTAGTCCGGCTAGCTGCTATTCGAATACGTACAGGCCCAGCCTATGCAATAACAAAAAAAATGCTCCGAGAAAGGAGCAAAACTCAACGCCAGAGAGGAGGATGGACACCAATGGAGGCTCAGTCCTGGAAGAAGGGTGGATGTCTCACTGCAATCCCGGACGCCTTACCAAGGGAATGGGAGAGCAGGAAGGCATACATCCAGGCGCCATGGAGCAAGCCGCCAAAGGTACACATCGAAGAACGAGAGCAAGCGAAAAACACACACGATAGCATTGAACGACAATTCCGCGCACCGGTACGACTATACACCGATGGGAGCGGGTATCAAGGCGGCATTGGGGCCGCAGTGTACCCGACATACCCGAGTGTCCAGAACGAGTCACGGCTATGCAATATGGGATCTGACGACGATGCCACTGTGTACGCCGCCGAGCTCCGCGCTATTGAAATGGCACTAGAAGTTATCCAATACCAATTCACAAGCAACGACGACTGGCGAGAAAGGCTGGCGGAGAGGGGGGCCGTGATCTTCACCGACAACCAGGCCGCTCTTAAAGCTATTCAAAACCCCAAAATGCCATCCGGCCAGGTATACCTGGAAGGAAGCCTCCGCCTACTGGACTGGTGCTCGAAGAGCAAGATTCAGGTTGAATTGCGCTGGATCCCGGCGCATGAAGGCATTCCAGGCAACGAACATGTTGACATGCTTGCAAAGAGCGCAGCAACCACCACCGACACATCGAATTATCATAACCGATCTACCCGGCTTGCCGCCGCAGCGAGCAAGTGGATTAAGCATGAATCGATGATCGCATGGGAAAAATCGTGGTCGAAGGGAGGAAGGATTGCGCGGAGGACTCGGAGGCTGGTCGAAGCGCCGAACAAGACAAATCTGGCGTACTGGAAAGGACTGCGGAAAGCAACAACATCAGTGCTAATCCAACTCCGGACAGGCATCATTGGGCTCGCTGAATACCTATCCAAAATCAAGCGAAAAGACTCACCGCGTTGTCAATGCGACCTAGGAAACCAGAGTGTGAAGCACGTTCTGCTAGAGTGTCCGCTACTCGAGGAACTGCGGTCGGAGATGGTGGAGGAATTGTTTATGGAGGGGGTGTCGACAACGCTTGGAGAACAAGCAATGTTGACAGAAGTGAAGGCAGCGCCGATCGTGGCGAAGTTCATGATCGCATCGGGACTCTTGGGACAGTTTCAGTCAGTGGACTCGGTCGCCATGGGTGAGGAGCAGGGGGAGGAGGATTCAAAACCGAAACCAATCCAAGACACTGCGAATGTTGGAGAAACAGGGAACACATCACAGTGGCCGGGCGCCAGGTCCGCCGAGGTCACCTCACACCAACGCACATGGAGAACAACGTACGCTGCCGACGAAGACGAAGAGGCATGGCGCCAGGACCCGAACCT